CTAGTCCCATGGCAGAGTGCTTACTGTGCCGCAGGACCCGGCCCCGGGCTCACTTTATAGTGCAGCGCTCCTAATTGATTTAATTCAATTTAATCGTACAGCTAATTGGACTTATCTCCGTTTGAGATGGCAAATTGCAGACAAGTGCCGCATCACAATGGTGTGTCCACTTTGACAGCTATATAACCACATAATCGTCCAACTTATGCAATTATCCGCCTTAATGAAGCTCAGCTAATTATACCCTGTACGCATTCAAATTGGCTAAGTGAGAGTACAGGCATATCCGAGGCCATAAAGTCTGAAAGTCTGTCTTCTAGGTCAGCAATAAAAGCTCTAGCTAGTAAATTAGGTGTAATTATTATTCATCCTAATTCATCGAAAACGATACAAGTCGATTTACATTCATATATGCAATACACTTACAGATCGAGAATAAATAAATCTTACTTGTTGGGTACCCTTCTTTACACTAAGCTTATAGCCGTGCTATTTCTATACATACCCTGTTGAATGCCATTTTTATGCCATGAGAATTGTATAACGATCGAGCAATAAACGCTCAAGTTATCCTAGAATAAAATTTTCATAGTGTGGGACTAAAGGGAGTTAAGGGACTTAGAAGAAGCCATTCGCCGTATAAACTCAGCAGCTTAATCGTACATAATATGTATGTAAGGTTGTATTAGTATGTTATTTGCTGGGTATCTCTAGTCGTGCACTTTTAACTCTTGCTTTTATCTACACATTATCATTTATCTAGATTTTTTTCAGATTTCTTATGCCATGAGAATTTTCTAATCTCAATCTACTTTCAGCTATTTTTGGAATATTATTTTCTTGTTAGCAAATTTATTTTTAGACCATTTAAATATTTAAGTACTATCTTGATCAATAAAACGATTTTATTATTAAAATTTAATTATAACAAATTTTAAGGGAACAAATTGAAAAAATAAACTTAAATAAAAAATATGAATAATTTCAACATATTCATTTGGTCAACTTAAATGTTTTTTTTGGGATATAAATTTAATAAAAATTTAAATAAAAGTAAAGTCTTCTCCGTGACAATGCATATTGCAGCATTGCCGTGACCAGGATTCGAACCTGGGTTACCACGGCCACAACGTGGGGTCCTAACCACTAGACGATCACGGCTATTGAAGACACTTGAATCGATAGCGAAAAATAGCGTATATCAACTGAATATATATGTATATGTATCTCAATGCTTGGTCAAGCTTTTGCTACAGTTTGTCTACATTTCTTGCGCTCCAAACAACTTGTTTATGGAGCAAGTACGGCAATAACAGCAACAATAACAAGCAGCAACAGCAGCTGCAGCAATAACAATAACAACAAGAGTATAAAAACGAAAAATAAAATCAGCGGTGAAAGGCAACTGAGAGTAACCCACCCAACCCAACAAGTGGGAAAGACAGACCCAAAGCAACCAAACAACCAACCGACAGACCGACAACCAATAAACAAGATTTTGGTTTATGAATGAATTTAAATTTCGAGCAGGAGAGATAAAGCGCGAGGGTGAGAAGGAGATAGCGAGTGAAGCGGGCTGCGGGTAAGGGTGGGGCGACAGGGCGGTAGGGCGTGTTGCTTGACTTGGCATTTCAATTCATTTTGCTATCAACAGCATTTTGCGGGTTTTGCTGTGTGCAATTGCAGAACCAACTGCTTTCGAGTGGTGGGCAACTGTGGGGAACTTCCAACTGCGGTGGGGGGGAGTTTGAACACGAATAAGTTTAGGAAAAAATAAAAATTTTTGCATAAATTGACAACGAAATTTGAATATAAATATTATTATTTACATACTTATTAAGCTATGCATAGATTTGTTTTTAAATGAAATTATAAATACCGAAGGCACTTGTTAGCTCATAAAAATATTTGTTAGCACTTATTATTTGTAATATATATGTATGTTCATATATATGTATGCACATGAAAATGAAAATATCTTCAAGCTGTTAACAAAGATAATATGGACTTAAGCCTTAAAAATTCCCATTTAAAAATTATAGTTGGAAACTTTGAGCTGGTTGTATAACATAAAAATAACATGAAAGTATTTAATAATATAAAATAAGATAGATGTACGTGTATGTACATATTTCCCTTATTAATTAATCACAATTGACACGTAAAAAATGCACTTTGCTAATTGAAATAAATTAAGCACACATTAAAAGTGATTTTTTTTACATCGGGGCATAATATAAAAGCATTCAAATTTGTATTTAAGCACCATTAAAAAGATGAAAGCAAGAGCTTTGTGTTTACCGTTATACGCTTCGTTTTATGTGTACAATTGGATTTGTCCCTTTTTTTAGTAAACAGAGCTAAGCACTTAAGTCGACTAGGATATACTCACACCCAAATTTAACAGACAGCTTTGTTATATTTGGGTATTTAGGTCTAAATCAAATAAGCTCATGATTTTAAATCGCTTTAGAATGAAATGCGAAAAATATCTGTACATACAGTGGCTCACAGCTTATTTCAATATAAATGTGTGCAGATTCATATAGTACATGGGCCTCATATACCCCACGCCATTTGAGTGGGACGGGTATACAAAATTAACTGTGCCTTTAATGAGGTGCTGACTTGTATGCGACGGCTTATAACTCCTTAGGGGATATTCAATGATTCATATTTGTTTCCACTTAAACATATAGTTTGGCCTGTAATTGTTACACAAAACGAATAAATTCGTGGGCTAGTCCTTATCGCATTCGTTGCCTGGGGAGATAAGAAAGTACAGTTATGCCAATCGTGCATAAACCTGATAAGTCGCGTGTAAAATATGAATTATGGCAGCTGCTTTGAAATGTGAATTATGCCACATATTGGTTTATATTTGTAATCAATATGTATATAATTAATGTATTAATCATACGAGAATGTGCACAGCACCTGTTAGGCGACGATTAAATACCCTACATTTTCATATGCAAGAAAATGTGTAATTTTTGTTAAAGAAGTATTATAATAAATATTACAAAATTTAATTTAATTATTGCCAAGGCCTACATTTCAACAAATATTCCCACTCAATGGATTTTTCTAACTTGCTTGGCTACAAAAATGTCCCGTTATCGCAATTGCAACGGTAATACCAGACATTTCCACATAAACAAGTCTCAATTGCCGACAACTTAAATACACTGCATATATCCCGCTGAATCCAGTTTTTGTTTAATTTTTGCATTTAATGATTTTGTAATTACCCATAAGTACAATATTATTTCAATGGCACTTTCTGTTTTTATTGTGCGCTATTTAAAAATGCAACGCTGCTGGTCGTCGGAGGGGGGTGGGGCGGATCGGCGGAGAGCGGCGGGCAGAATCAAACTGGGCTGGGCTTTTATTTTTTTTTAACACCACTTTGGCGTTACGTGCTGCGAAACCCTTAAAATAAAAAACTGTAAAGTGTTTACATGTAAACTGGAAAATTACGAACACACACATATAGATAGAATACACGTGCGCACACACACACCTACACAAACACACACAGAGACAACATGCTGTAAAATTTTTGCACGGATTTATTTCTTTTTTGCAATTTTTGTGGCCTGCTTTTGGAATATGAAAAATGCCTGCATTTCTTTGTTGCACGTGTGTATATATATATTAATATATGTGTGTATTTGTGTGTTTGTGTGTATTTGTGCTATTCGTGTGTGAATATTCGCGCTCCAATAATCGCGCAAAGCGTTGGGCTATTTACATGTATTGACCGTATGACTATAAAGTATGTTAGTTCAGTCTCGTTTTTACAAATTAATTTTTGATAGCAAGCATGAAAAAAAAACTTACACACACATTGCCCACAACTAACTGGAGGCTTGACTGTATAGAATTCTGATTCACACATGCATTTAGAAGAGGTTAAAGGGCAACGAGAAAAAACTGCTCTTGATAATTGCTTTACAGTGGCTGAGATAAACTAAAAATGTCAAAAAATTATACATTTTTCGACCACGGCAATATACATATAACATATACATATATATATACATATATAGTTCCTCAAGTATACATATATATATCTAGCGTATATTTTCTGAATTACTTTAAGCTATATTTTAATTGATATATAAATATATATATGTAATTATATACTTACGCAAAAATTAACGCAAAAATATTTTGAGTACATTGCCAATACAACTTGTTAACCTAACGAAATCAAAGCAAGGAAACAAGTAAGTACATGAAATCATGAGAATCGCATAGTAGGGAAATATTTGAGAATTAATTGTTGCAAAGTTGAGAACTAAAATTAGCCCATCGTAGGTATAAGATATGTATGCATATGAGCATATATGAGCATATTCACACACATATGTACATACTGGCATACACATGCACACATACATATTTTTCATACATTCGTGCACCGAAAAAAGGTTACTACTGTCTTTGATCTTGCAGCTGGGCTGTGCATTGAACATCCGTCAGTCAGTCAATCAATCAGGATTGTAGTAGCATTTTAACTGATATTAGAAGAGGTCACAAACCAAATGTTGTGGCCTTAGTTCTAATAGATCCTGAGATCGGAGAGGAAAATATAGTTGCAGCGTTTTGTTGGTGTTTGCTTCATAAAAAAACCCCGAGATGCGCTCAAATCTAGATATAAGTTTTGTATTCCGGAATTACAAGAACTAGAACGAAATACATGAGCTTTGAATATTTGTTTAAAATATATTTTATACAAAGAAAGGTTAGGTTCTGCCCACAGTGCGTGCTTCATATGGAGCCGCCAACAAGTCTGCGAGCTCTCAGGGTCACAATTGATCCGTTGATTTTGTTTTATTTGGTTTTTTGCAGTCTCTGACTGTGACTATTCCGCTAATTTGCAGTTGCTTGGCATTAGAAACACGAGCCAGGTGCCCGCCCAGTAACAGCTTGTTGCGGACTTCTACTATAAATATGAGTTGCAGCACGAAAGAGTTAAACAGTTGGTTGGCAAAATGCCCGAGGAGAGCATACACTCGCCGTTTAGTTCCGAAATACCGCACGCGTTCATCTACAATGATACCAGAAAGGGGACAACCCTCTATTGTGGACCCTATTTGAGGTCCATTGAGAGTTTTGCGCAGAAATATAATTATCAACTGCAGCTGGAGCACGTGGAGAACTTGCCAAAGAAGTCGCTGATGCTGCAGCAGATAGCCGAGGGCTATTACAATATGTCCGTGCACGGTGTGAACATCCGATCCATGTCCGAGGATCCCTTGTCGAATTTAACGCAGTACAGTTATCCCATCGAGGTGATGAAGTTCTGTGTGATGGTGCCGCTGGCACCGGAGCTGCCCAAATGGATGTACATGGTCTGGCCGCTGGGTCGCTATGTCTGGACATCCATCTTCTTGTCCATATTCTATGTGGCCCTGCTGCTGCGTTACATACACCGACGGGAGACTGTCACCCGCTCCTATACGCGGAATCTGCTGCATGCCCTGGCCATACTCATGTACAGCCCGAATATGAATATGCAGGTGCAGCTGAGTCAGCCTCCAGTGCGTATGCTGATCTTCTACACGCTGCTCTACTTGCAGGGCTTTATATTGTCCAATTACCACATCAGCCACATGACCTCCTTCGACATGAAGCCGGTTTTCGTGAAGCCCATTAATACGTGGTCGGACCTAATAGAGTCTCGGGTGCGCATTATTATACCGGATACGCTGCTGGAGGAGCTGCGCATTTTGCCTGTGGTGGACGTTTCCTTGCTGGATCCCCAGTTCGAGCCACGCATTTGACAGGACTATCAGCAACTGCTGGTTAAACCGCCGCGCAAGTACGCCTATGTGGTTACACAGGATGCGTGGGAGTTTTTGGATCGCCAGCAGCGTGTGCTGATCCAGCCATACTTTCACATGTCCCAGGTCTGCTTTGGTGGGCTCTTCAATGCGTTTCCGATTCAAAAGAATGCACAATTCGCCGACCGCTTGGATCGCTTCCTTATGCATGTGCAGCAGGCGGGCCTGTGGGATCACTGGGAGAATATGGCCTTCATATATGCGGTACGTGCGCGTTTCGCTCAGGTCTTTCTGGACACCTATCCCGTAGAACCATTGAACTTGGAGTTCTTCAGCACCGCCTGGATTGTTCTGATCTGTGGCCTGCCCATAAGTGCTGTCGTTTATTGCCTGGAACATTTGTGGAGCCGCTGGAGAACAATGCGAAGAAACTACAGGATCTATAAAGAGTTTTAAATTTAATACTAATACTATTAGTATTAATTCCAGTCAAATTACAGGGTATTTATTGGCCGTGCACTTTCGTGTAACCAGCAAACTAGCTTAATGGGAATGCATAAACATTTACATATGGGAATCCCTGTAACAAGCCCAACATTTGTCGCTTGTTCTTAATTATTGTGCTAATTGTTGTGGTAATTTATGATATGAATCGGAGATTAAGTTAAAACAGGGCTTAACGTTGTTATAATTGATATGTAATCGATGCTCAGAACATGTAATCCCTGGAGAATAAGTCTGATACACTTAAAAGGTTACGATCCTAGACAAAACGAAGACATTACGCATACGCCCCGCGAACGTCTTGGAGCACTGTCATATGTATATGCCGTATATATTTGTGTTGTTCCTCTTGCAATGGGCTTGTGCCTGGAATTTGAGGTACATTAGCACAATGCTAATGGGCTTTAACAAATTGGGTCAGTTTCAGGATTTGGTGTGGTTCGTTAGCCCTCAGCTGAACAGCGAGCATATGGAGAATGTGGACAAATTCATACGCATACTACACGAAGCCTTTGGCCTGACTCAAATAGTTATCTTCAATAACTCGGATATGCGCATGAGTCTGTCGGCTGTTAGGCGCAATCAGGTAAGCGTCGTCTTCACCACCGGCCCCGACGATCCCATCATGCAGGTGGCGGATAAGGTGCTGCTGGGCAAGCACTATTATCTCTCGGTGTTCATGATAATGCCCAAGGTGGACGATATGGAGACGGTGTATGAGATATGCCGCTTCCTCAACGACAAACAGTTTGAGAACTCTCTCCTGTATTTCGAGTCAGCGGACGGCATTAATCAGCTCTTTGGCACAAATCAGTATCCCGTTGTGCAGTTCGAGAATCGCACAGATCTGATGAAATTCATGCGGAGCCGAGCCAAACAGGTGCTCAGCGCCGTGCACGATGTGGGCGGATATCGTTTTGCTACGCCCATGCGCGAGGATGCGCCGCATCTGTTCAGAGTTGGCGATCGGTACGAGGGCAGCACATACCGCATCATCGACACCTTTGTGCAGCATCTGAACGGCAGCTTCCAGGAGTGGGCACTGCCGCCGGATGAGCTTGGCGGGCGTGCGGTCAACATGAAGCAGACCCTGCAGCTGGTGCGTCAGCGCAAGGTTCAGTTCTCTGCCCATGCGTATGCCCTGTTCATGCCGGACGATGAGCTCGAGAAGAGCTACCCACTGCTGGTGGTGCGCTGGTGCCTGATGGTGCCGCTCTACAACAGCGTCTCCACCTACTTCTATCCGCTGCAGCCCTTCGACTGGACCGTCTGGTTTTTTGTGCTCGGCGCTTTTCTCACGCTCAGTTTGCTGGAGCTGATCTGGCTGTGGTTGGGTGCGGCCCATGCGGCAGCTGGACCCACAGCCGCTCTGCTTAACTCCTTTTGCTACATCATTAACATAGCCACTGGGCGGCAGCTCTTGCAGCCGTCGTTTTTGCGTCTTCTGCTACTTTTAGCTGTCTTCTTTCACGGCTTCTTTTTGTCGGCCAACTACACATCCACGTTGGGCAGCATTCTGACCGTGAATCTGTTCCACGCACAACTCAACACAATGGAGGACATACTGCGCGCCCAGCTGCCCGTCATGATCATTGACTATGAGCTGGAGTTTCTCTTGCAGCTGCACACGGAGCTGCCGGCGGAGTTCAGGCAGCTGCTGCGACCTGTGGACAGCGGCGTCTTTGCCCAGCATCAGCTCAGCTTCAATAGCTCCTTTGCCTACTTTGTCACTGAGGATAGCTGGCAGTTTTTGGATGAGCAGCAGCGGCATCTGAAGCAGCGCCAATTCAAGTTCAGCGACATCTGTTTTGGCTCCTATCACCTGGCCTATCCCATGCAGAAGGACTCGTCGCTGTGGCGCGACCTGGAGTACTATACGTTCCGCGTGCATTCCTCGGGACTGCTTTACTATTACGCCCGGCTCAGCTTCGAGTCTGCACTTCATGCGGGCCTTGTGCAGCGCCTGCAGGAGACCAAGGTCTACACATCGGCGGGTCTGCAGCATCTAGCCATAGCATTCATATTACTTTTGGCCATGTCTGCGATTGCAACTATCGTTTTTGCTTTCGAAGTGTTTTGGGCACGCATTTGGCGCCCGAGCACGGACCAAGTGAGGCCTTAAATTGACCATTACCTCAATTTGGGCGCCCGAGCAGATACGGGATTCAAGTATTAATTAACCTCAAAATTAATTTGCACTTATTCGCGCAAGAACAGGGTCAATTTGTGTTATTGATTTGATATTGACCTCGAAATAGAGTCGTTTTTAATTAGTCGTCAAACTTCAAGTAAAGATTTTTCAGGCGTAAACTATAAATTGAAAACTGAATACTTTCAAAATAAATTTGCTTAAAACAAATAAAACGAGAAAGAAGGGCTATCTTCGACACGCCGAAGATTTAATACTCTTGCAGACCCAACCTTTTCATAATGCTCATAGTGATTTGCCCGTATCTTAGAAGCACATGGAAAATAGTTAATGCCGAGTTTGGCCAAGATATCTTGAAAAACAGAAAAATGTTCCATACAACTTAATTTTCGACCGATCGTTCTTATGGCAGCTATATGATATAGTAGTCCGATGTAAATAAGATTTTTCATAAATGGAGGAAGCATAGTAAAACTAATAAATGGCGAGGTTAGTCACGATATCTTGATAAACCAAAATGTTTTTCATATAACAACTTAATTTTTGACCGATCGTTCCTATGGCAGCTATATGATATAGTGGTCCGATGTTGATAGGATTTTGCATATATAGAGGAGCATAGTAAAACTCATAAATGCCGAGGTTGGTCAAAATATCTTGATAAACAAAAATGTTTTTCGTACAAGAACCTACTTTTTGTCCGATCATTCCTATGGCAGCTTTATACAATAGTGGTCCGATCCAACTGGTTTTGACATATGTACAACAGAAAAAGGCACTTCTGCAAAGTTTCATAAAGATAGCTTAAAAACTGAGAGACTATCGATTCGGCTGTTAAACCTGACCATGAATATATATACTTTATGGGGTCGGAGATGTCTCTTTCTATGCGTTACACATTTCACGACAAAAATATAATACCCTCTGCAAGGGTATAACAATGACTAAATCCCAAAGAAAAAAAATCTTTTTGCCCGATCACGCTCTTTGAAATTTTCAAAAATTTTTAAATCTCATAAGCTTAAATATTATATTTAATTACTCATATAAAAAGGTGAGAATTCATGAGATTAATCTTAATAAAATTGTTGTATTTATATAACTTAATATTTAATAATATAATTTTACATTTATTTTCTTCTAATGCTTCTGCGCCTTCTTAAGATCCTGCGCAGCCTGTTCCACAGCTTAAGGCAGTATTCTTTGAGCACAAGCTGATGCCACTTCATCTCGAGCACAAAGACGAATCCGGCGAGCACCAGGCCTATGCACCAGGTGCGCATCATGCTGGAAAAGAAACTCATGCTGAGTGGCTGCGGCTGCTCGATCACAATAATCAGCCGTATGAAGCCCATGTACAAAGCCTCCCAGAAAGCCTCCCACTTCCAGTGAAGGCCCAGGCCAGATTCCTGGGAGATCAGAATAAAGTTCTGAAACGGCGAGCGCAGATGCGAGTCCAGATGCATGGGAAAGACATGATAGAAGGGACCCGTACATATCTGCGTCAGCCGAAAGACGGGCACACGCAGATGCTTCTGCAGCATGACAATTGTGTCCCAACGATCGGTGGACACAAAATAGCCAAAGGTGGCGTTCAGCAGGTCGCGATGCTGCTGAATAAAATTCGCATCCGCGATACTCACTTGCTTCAGGAAACGCGTCGGAAACTGTTCCGATCGGCTACTAAGTGCATTGTACTCAAATGTCTGCGCCAATATCCTCAGATTGGTATCAATGATGTCCTGCACAGTATTCAGCTGTCGCTGTGGCGGCGCCGAGGTGAAATAGCTGGTCATTTTGCTGATATACATATTGGAGGCGACCAAGCCCATGATGCTGAATACCACGTACAAATAGCGCATGCGGCGCGCAGCTGATCGAAATATAAATATTGGCGGACTGTTTGTCAGACTGCAGATGCACTGCAGCAGAGCGGCGCCCAGATCACGCGGACGCTGCGGCGTGCATAGCCAGATGGCAAAGCTCATGTAGAGCATGGTCAGGATCAACAGCAGCCAGATATTGTCCTGGAGTGCTTCGCGCAAATAGAGCTCCTGCAGCGAGTCATTGCGATAGGGCACCATCAGGCACCAGTCATTGATGCCAATGGGATAGCTGAAGCTCACCGAATAGTTGCCCACGAGATCCGTGTAGGAGTGTATCAGCGTCTCGTAGACGCCCTGTGCCACCAGCTCCAATAGATTGGGCAAATCGAAGGTCTTTATGGTCAGATTGGCGCTCGTGTCCAGCATTGTGGCATTCACATACTGCAGAAAGCCCTGAAATAATTTTGCACTTGTGCCGTAGACAGTCTTCTGATCGGCTCCCTTGAAAACCCGTGGCATATCATACAA